CCTGACCCAAGCCATGGTATTTTCAATCTCCTCATATGCATGTGAGAGCTGGACCATGAAGAAGGAAGACGGAAGAAGACTGATGCCTCTGAGCCGTGGTGCTGGTGAAGAGTGTGGAAAACACCGTGGCTGCCAGAAGAACTATCACACCTCTCCTGGAAGAAGTGTGGCCGGAATGCTCCTTGGAAGCGAGAATGGCCAGACTGCATCTCCCCTACTTTGGTCATGTTGTCAGAAGGGACCAGTCCTTGGAGAAGGACGTCATGCTTGGTGAGGTGGACGGTGAGTGAAGAGGGGAAGACCTTCAACGAGATGGGCTCACCCAGTGGCTGCCGTGACGGGCTCAAGCACAGCAAGGATTGTGAGGCTGGCGCGGGCCGGGCAGCTCTTCTTTCGTTGCACATGGGGTTGCTGTGAGTTGGAGCCGAGCCAACGTCACCTAACAACAACATTATGAATGTTTGTCCTGGGGGATGATGGCTGACTCGTAGCCACGCCCTCCCCTTCTTTCATTCCAGGTGTCAGCCCCGGTGCCGTCTAGGCTCAAAACTTCTCTCAGCGCTAAAATGTTCTTCCAAGTAGCCCCAGACTCCAGAGTTACAGCGTCATGACAGGACATCACAAATCGTCACACACTGAGAGGTTTCTTTAGGTCAAATTTTGAGAAAGAGATTTTGCATTTGTTTCATATGTGAGTCAAAGATTGCCTTAAAACTTTATTGTTGTAGGCATCTTATGTTCCCTATTAAAGAAAAAAGTCCTAAAATACGTTATATATTCCTGGCAGTCCCCTGTCAGTATACTGCTGCAACCATTTGTCTACTGTGGTGGCTTGCGTGTTGCTGTGAGGCTGGAGGCTGTACCACCAGGCATCTGATAACTGCTCCCCACCCCTGGTTTTATCTCTACGGTCCCTGTCCTCTAAACTCGGAGGACACTGGTCCTCAGGTGGACCAGCCGTCAGGCTTGCTCTTTACAGGGGGCAGGTTGGGTCCTGCACAAGGGAGCCACACCTACAGGGGTACCGGTCGCATCACAGACGCCCTAGATCTGGGTATTTACTGTGAAGATCTTTCTGCAGTGGGCAGCAGATTTCACGCAATGGAGGGATGGGCTGTCATGCTCTGGAGAGAGGATTGGAATGGGAGAGACCGGCAGGGAATCTGGGAGGGAGGGGACTAGGGCCTGAGCCAGGACAGAGGTGTCTCGGCCATTCCACCTTTGGGCTCCAGGGGGCGCAGTGCCCTTTGCTCTCTGCATACTCACGGCCCCGCCCACTCTCCCTCAGGGTCCTGTCTCCCTTGGACACAAGTGCACACCCTTGATTGTGGCAGGAGCTTTGTTTCTATTTCAAGTGAAGTAAGCTACACAGAAATGTAGGAAACATTTCTAAATTTAAGAACTCTTACAGAGTTGTTTTTTTTTTTTTTTTTTAAAGGCACTCCAATGGTGCAGTGGTAAAAGCAGTAAGCTACTAACTAAAAGGTCAGCAGTTCAAACCCAACCACTGCTCCATGGGAGA